TGAGATTACAAGTTTGGGCCACAATGCCTGGTTTATGTGGAGTCCGGAATAGAACCTAGGGCCCAGTGAGTGCTAGGCAGACACACTGCCAACTGAGCTACATCCCGATTCCAAGATCAATTTTTTTAATATTTATTATTTTTATTTTATGTGTATGTGTGTATTGCCTGCATGTGTGTAAGTGCACCTGTGTTGTGCAATGCCCATGGAGGTCAGAAGAGAGTGTTAGATCCCCTGGAGTTATAGAAGGTTGTTAGCCACTGTGTGGGTGCTGAGAATGAAACTCGGGTCTTCTGTAAGAGCAGCCAGTGCTTTTAACTGCTGAGCCATTTCTCTAGCCCCCAAGTCCAAAATATTTTTAATGTTTGTTTCCTTCTGCATCTCTTTTCTGAATGACCTCTTCAATTGGACCCTCCATCTTCTTTTTTACCAAACAAAATCTGACTTTTCAAAGGTGGGGTAAAATTGCTTTTCTCCCCACCCTCTCTGGGGCCCTGCCCTGTCTGCTTCTGAACTGCTATTAGGCAAGGCACTGGGGATTTATGCCCTTCACTTGGCTGGGAAAAGCCAGGGCTATGAGGTGACCAGGGCAGGTCAGAACCCAGGCCAGTCTTCTGTGAAGGGTGCTGAGTCCTGCTCCTAAAGATGCTGACGCAGATGGAAGAGGCCGGCCTGGAAAACACTGTGTGACTCCTAAGCCACTGTAGCCAGGGGCAGTTAAATGGTTTCTATTTAAGGAACATTAATTTAAATGTACGTACATCCAAAATTGGTGTCCCTGTTGGCAGACTCTAGAAAGAATATGGTGAATTCTCAATCTTTCTAGTATGGCTAGAAATGCTTTCACTCAGGACAAACGTCAATACCTTCTTTCCATCCCGTCACCTTTATGGTACAGGTTCACAGGAAACCGGAAGTGGCCAGGCTGGAGGCCAGTGGTGTGGGACCAGCAACAAGCTTCGTACTCACAGAGCACTGTCAGTGCCCCACATTGCATGAAGCACTTCACACAGAGACTCACCTTGGCCTTGTAATAATTCTATTGTCCCCATTTTACGGCTCAGAGGAAATGGCCAGGAAGGATCTGCAAGCCACGAATGCACAGCCAGGACTCAGACCCAGGATCTGCACAGCCAGGACTCAGACCCAGGATCTGCACAGCCAGGACTCAGACCCAGGATCTGCACAGCCAGGACTCAGACCCAGGATCTGCACAGCCAGGACTCAGACCCAGGAAGTCCGGCTCTGGAGTTGATGTTCTGGATTCTTTTACTGGATCCCTCCAAGTGCAGCTTCCCTGGTGGATTCCAAGGAATACTGGTGTGGCACACTCTAACGAGCCCCAAGTGAGGTGAGCAGGTCTCTTTACCTCAGCACTTCTTAGGTAGGGTTTAACCCTGGGCTTTAAAGAAGCAAAGAGGCTGGGGCAGGAGGGTTGCAATTTCAAGGTCAGCCTGGACAACAGAGGGAGACACTGTCTCAAAGCAAAATTAAACACACACATACAAAAAAATCCTAGGCATGGTGGTACATGCCAGTAATTCAAGCATTCAGGAAGAGGAGGACTGCCACAAATTCAAGTCTACTCAGGCCACTGAAATGAGCTCCTGGCCAGCCAGTGCTACAAAGCGAGATACTGTCTCAAAAAAGATGGGAAAGAAGGTCCTCAGGACACATTGTTACACACAGTGGCCAGCCAGGCTTGGAGACGGGCGGGGGGTGGGGTGGGATGACGACTTCTTACAGGCTGCAGTGGAGACAGGTCCCCAAGCCCAGAGCTGCTTCATGATTAGTCCTCCTATCTGAGGACAGGGCCATTTCTCAGGCCACCCAGAGGATGGTGAAATCTTAAGTGCAAAGCCTCACTTTGTGATGCTGTCAGGGGCTCCTACTTGTCTGGCCAAATCCTCACAGCAAGGCCGAGACTCTGGGGAGCCGAGGCTGCCTTGCCATTCTGTCTCGAGGCCAACAGCCAAAGCTGAACCCATCAGACTGAGTCCCACATGTTAGATGAGCTCCACTCATTTATCTGGCCCAGTGCCACTATCAGGCAGGTCTGGCTGCGCTAGCTGCAGCTGGGTTTTAAGTGCCTGCTTTTATTACCTGGTAGAACTTCACTGAGCTCTAAACTAAACAAGTGACTGTCCTAAGCTGGCCCTTAGCTCATGCCTGTCACCTGAGTACTCAGGAGGCTGAGGCAGACCAATTGCAAGTATGAGACTAGCCTGGGCTACAGAGTGAGTTCCCCGTAAACTTGGGTTACAGGGTGAAGCCCTATCTCAAAAGCAATCAAAGATGCTTGTGTCTCAACCCCCTTCAACTCCACTCCTTCCCAGAACCAATCTTGCTTGTCAAATTTCTGTTCAATCTTTTTGTGTTCACTTTTACACCCTCAAACACTACGCCTATCTCTCTCTTTGATTCACCATCTTAAATATGATGTATGGGGACAGGGGAGATGGCTCGGTGGGTAAAGGTGCCTACTGCTCAGCTTGAGGGCACGAGTTCAACCTCTAGACCCACATGGTGGGTGGAGAGAACAGATTTCCCCTAGTTGTCCTGACTTTCACACACGTACTGCAACACATGAATGTGCTGTCTCTCACACATAAATAAAATGTAAATATGATCTAGGATTACTTTTCTTATGACAGAATTGAGTTTACTTATATTTCACTATCTATCCTAGTACCCATTATTTCCATAACTGATATGATGATGATGATGATGATGATGATGATTGCACACTGGGGGTGAAACCCTGGGCCTTGTATACATCAGGCCTTAACTGGTTACTTAAAATATTTTACAAGTCAGTTATGGTGGCAAGTGCTTATAATCCTAGAACTTAGGAGGCTGAGGCAGTAGAATCACCGCAAGTTTAAGGTCAGCCTGGGTTACATGATAAGCTCCAGGCTAGCCTGGGCTACAGAGTGAGAGTCTGTATAAATAAACCAATCAAACAAAAAGCAAAACCATAACAAGAAAACAAAGGCAGGCATGGTGGTCAATGCCTATGATCCAATCCTAGCACTCAGGTGTCTAAGGCAGGAGGATTGACTTGTGTTTGAGGCTAACTCAGTCTAGGCTACATCATAAAACCCTGTGTCCAGAGGGGGGTGGGGAAGAAGGGAGAGGGAGAGGGAGGGAGAACACAGAAGAATTAAATAGTATGCACTCTGGTCTCTTAGCTGGTCAGCACTGGATGGTCCCAGAAGTAATTCCAAGCCTCCTACCTTTCCCCAAATGTCGGTGCCCTCAGCTCACCCTCCTGGCTGGCTCTTCTTGTCTTCCCACCTTATCAAGACCAGATGGACTTCTGGGTGGTACCACCTGGCCAGGACTGGCTGCATTTTTCCTGTTAGGTAGCTACTGCAATCCTTCTGGGTCAGCAAACTCCAGATGCCATCAAATGTTCATAACATGAGTCGGTGGGACATAGACCAGGGTTTCAATTCCCTCTGCTACACCTTTGTCTACTAAGGAAAGGGTAGGATCATCAAACCCCAGACTAGAGAACTGCAGAGGAGCCAGGCAAAGGCTCGGGGGAAGAGCTCCTATTAGGGATCACAGTGGGGGCTTCGTGGAGACACACTGACGAGCCCTGTGTTCCCTTGTCAATGTGGGGAAAATATTCCCCAGGCCACACAAGCAGTTTTGTTTTTTCAAAACCTTTTAGAACAGAAGTGGGAGACCATCACCTAAAACAATTCTCACTGTTGGCATCACTACACAAAGTTACCTGATCAGGGTTTCATTGAAGTGTTTCTGCTTGTGCAGGAGATTTTCTGAGTCGTCTGTTATAGCCTTGTTCACTTGCCTATTAACTTACAAGCAAGGAAATTATTGTCTTGAGACAGGGTCTTGCTATAGAGCCCACGTTGGCCTCTTCATCCGTCCTGTTTAGTCTCCAGAGTGCTTAGATTACAGTATGGGCCACCATACTCAGGTTTTCAAATGTTTTCATTAGAAATCTGATCTGGGGCTGCAGAGATGGCTCAGCAGTTAAGAGCATTAGCTGGTCCTGCAGAGGATGTGGATTTGATTCCCAGCACCTATATGGCAGCTAACAACCATCTATAACTCCAGTTCCAGGGGATCCAACACCCTCTTCTGACCTCTACCAGCACTGTAGGATGTGGGTGCACTTACACACATGCTAGCAATACACTCATACAAATAAAATAAAAATAATAAATAAAAGTTTTTAAAAAAGAAATGATCCGATCTTTCAAAGGAAACTTCTCTGTGCACCTAGCTTTCTCCCAACACAACAGGGGCAGCTGTTGCCAGTTCTAAAATCTACACCAGCTGCATTGGAAAGAATCAACACGGGAGCCAAGTCAACTCTATCTGTGCAGTGGCCCAGCCTTGGCCAGTGTGGATGTGAGGGAGGACAGCATGTCGGTATGACTGCGGTGAGTGCAGGCTGCGCCTGTGTCAGGGAGTCAGGTGTGGTTTCTTAGACGTCAGTAACCTGGAGGAGCTTGCTTAGGGCCTGGGAGCTCAAGTCAGGACCGTGGCTTTTCCTGAGAAGCCTGTGTTTGAAAGGAGTGGTAAGACGCACTCTGCTGTCGGAGGGGTGCGGTGAGGACTGGCTACTTCCGTGACCACAGTGGGAGGGACAGCGGAAGTACACCTAGGAAGCACCAACAGTGCGATGGTCAAGCCTGACTATCAACCTGATCAGACCGAGTCCCTGTCAGCTAACCTTGTTCCCCTCCTCACGTCTCCGTGGACCCCTCCCCTATCTGCACCCCTCTTACAGCGGCCCTGCCAGATTTCATGTACTGTCATATTTATATGTATGTTTATATGCCTATTGAATAAAGTTTGTGTCCCTAAAAGCACCCACATGGCAGCTAACAACTGTCCGTAACTCCAGTTCCGGGGGCTCGATGGCCTCTTCTGTCCTTGCCGGCACCGCACAACACGGGTGCACTTACATTACACGCAGGCAGTACACTCATACACATAAAAATAAAAATAACAAAATATTTTAAAAAATGGAATGCTTCATGAATCTGCCTGTAATCCTTGCAACGGGCCATGTTAATCTTTTCTGCATTGTTCCAATTTTAGCATCTGTGCTGCCAAAGAGAGCATTTTTCTTGAGCCCAAGTAGCCTAGGTTGGCCTTAGCCTCAAATAAATGGCTACACAGTGAGTTTGAGGCCAGCCTGGGCAACATGAGACCCCATCTTTAAAAAGTAGTGAAACGGGTACTTAGTAGATTTTAATTTAATTTTTTTTTTTTTTTGGTCTTTTTGAGACAGGGTCTCCCTGTAGCCCCAGCTGGCCTGGAACTCACTATGTAGACCAGGATGGCATCAAATTCACAGAGATCCACCTGCCTCTGCCTCCCAAGTGCTGGGATTAAAGGCGTGTGCCACCACGCCTGGCTAGATACTTCTTGACCCACTAAGGGGACAGCAAGACAGAGATAGCTAAGGCTTTATTCATATTTAACCTAGCCAAACTGGTGCTGACTAGCCCCGACACAGCCAAGTACAAAGAGCTTCCTCCAGAGGCAGAGGGAATCAATGATGTAAGCAATACGTAAAGTCTCCCAGCCGCCACAGTGGAAGGGCAACCTGACAGTTTCAGTCCTGTTCTTTGGGATGGTGTCTCGCTATGTATGTATAGTCTAGGCTGACCCTGACCTTGCTATGCAGTCTAGGCTGGCCCTGACCTCGTGGTCTTCCTGCTTTACCCCAGAGTGGCTACCATACTCTGATACATCTTTATACTTTTTACTTCCTCTACTTCCAGTCCAATTCCGCATCCTAAAGATACCCAAACATGCATTAGAGCTACTGATCTGTAGCTCAGCCACCCTGTCAGAAGCAGGGAAGGTTATTCAAGCCTCTTTGATTAGATCAGCTAAACTCCACCTCTTAAAGTGACACACTATGTACAAGATCCAAGATTCGATAAAAAGTCAAAAATAGCCAGGGTTGTAGTTTAGTGGCATCGCGTTTGTCGAAGTGCAAAGCCCTGAGTTCAGTCCCTAGCAAGGCACTACAAAAGAGACACGCAGCCACACAGCTCTGAAGAAAACACTACAGGCCTTCAAATATAGCTCAGTGGTAGGGCAACTTGCCTAGCATGCACAAGGTCTGATCTAAAAAATGAATGAATGAATAGGCTTGAGGCACTAATACACTCATGGCTCTCCCTGACAGTTTCCAAACTGGCCTCCAAATCACTGGCTTCTAGCTAGAACTGCATGTGGGGCTACAGATTCCTGTCCAAAGTCATGGGATAGAGCACCCGGGGCCTGGCTGCCCAACACTGGAGGTTCCTGATGTGATCACCAGGGCACCCTAGGGACAGCTAGACTGGCTGGATGTCCCTCAGATGCCGAGCCCTTCTAATCACAGAAGCTAATCCGGTGCTTCTCTCCCATTGCTCACTAAAGTTGAGGGTGCTAGAAAGTTCTTCCATCTCCTAGAGGCCAAGGCACTGATCTCTGAACCTGTCCAGTGTGCACTGCTGGGCCTGAGAACACAGTTCTGCTTGTTTCTTGGCCCTGACCTAGTCTCCCCCTGGTTCAGTACCAGGGCCGGGTAGCTTTAGTCTGGGAGTGGCATGAGATTGAGGACAGCCAAGAGAAGTCTACAGGGGAAGGACAGGCATGGACGGTGCATCTCAGAACACTTGAAAGGAAGTAACTTTTCTCAGACCAGCACTGACGGCCTGTTCCCAAGATGAGATGCTTCATCAGAACAAGGCAAACTGGGCTTTAAGACTCAGTATCTACGGGGAAGACAGTAGAAAAAAAGAGATACCCAGATGAAAAATAGCACCTGAGTGGACGGAGAAAAGTGAGACTCCTCAGACACCAACTCCCTCAAACCCAGGTTACAATGCCGATGAAGACTGAAGATGCTGAGGGGGTTCAGGAGAGGCAGAGAAGGGTCTGTGAGCTGCGACCTAAAGCAAGGAAGCCACCGACCTCACACGCACATCTGGAGATGTGAGTGGGTGGGAGAGAAGAGCCACCTTTCAGGAGGGTAGGCTACCGGGGAAGCAGCAGCCTCCATCCAGAAAGCCAGGGTTTGGGCTAGAAAAGATACCACAAAATTATCCCTGGAGTCCCAAAATCCAGGCCAAGCCTGGGAGCACTGGCAGACAGAGGGTTCTGCCAAAGCTTTCCAGAGATCCTAGGCCTCTGCATTCCAGCTGATGGACCTGCAGTCCATTTCTACTATCAACTCTGAAGAACTATGCGGTGTTTCGGAATGCTGTCCTGCAGACGTGACATGGCTGCTGCCCCCTTGAACTCTCTCAGTAGCTGGGATTACCGGCACAAGGTTGTGCCTCTAATGATCATGTGGCCTCCCCTCCCCCGGGATACGTACGTGACTCCTGGTTGCTGAGGGGAGATTTTCTTCCATACTTGGCTCTTACAGACGGCCCTGCTCCTTAAGTAACCCTAACTACCTCTCGGTTCACCAATCTCAACTTGGTGCAATTGTTTCTTTGGCCCATCGGGTGCCCTAGCTGGGGTGAGTAGACATTTCTTTCTCCTCAGGAAAAGTCCACACTATAGCTACTCAGTCTGTTTTGAGAATTCTAAAAATGGATCAAATGTATCTAATAGCACAGAAAGTAGAGCTAATAGAACAAAAAGATCCAAGCGCTTTAACAAGCGATCCTTTTCTTTTTCAGTATTTACTGTTTAATATCGCTGCGGCGAGCTTTCCCGTGTTGCCTCAAGGATGCGATTTTACTGCATGCAGATTCTACACAGTACATCAGTGAGATGCTGTCTGCCCGGTTGCCTCCTATACGTCACACCGCTGTACTCTCAGATGACAGCAAACTCAGGGACAGAACATCTTCGTGCATTATTCAGCCACATTCTGAACTAGAGGACTGTGAACTGCTTCCTGTCAGCCAAGATGCTCAGAAGACATGAAAAATCTATTAGGAAGGTCAAATGAAAAGAGATGCTTCAAACCGTTTGCTTATTCATCCCTCTGCTTGGCACGCTTTCATCTTAGAGGAGACACTCAAAATCACGGCGAGGTTAAAAACCAGACGAGCCTTCAAGCTAACGAGGCCCCTGCGGACAGGTGGGCAAGGACACACTAAATACTCCACCAGGGCGTCTGAGGTGTCAGCAAGGGGTGAACAAGGAGGGCAGAGCCCCAGCCGGCTAAGGATTGCCTATGCAAGGCTAAGTTCCCTGAGCCCCAACCCAGAGGCCCTTGAGACTCTCAAATCCTTTCAGGCTCAGAAGTCATTCATTGCTGAGTCACTTTGTAGCTCTTAGGAGAATTCAACCCCAGCTTTGAAAGCCTGCGGACTCGTTTCTTTCTGGTCTGTTAAGGGTCTTCTTGCTTGAGTACTAGTAGCTTTTCTCATGCTCTGACCACAGTACCCCAGAGAACTTACAGGAGGAATTACCGCAGCTCATGAACTCAGAAAGTTCCAAATATGTATGATCCCTTGGTCCCATGGGATGGGGGCAGAAGAGTGTGGTGGAGGAGCCTGTGGTAGAGGAGAGCTCTTCACCTAACCACAGAGAGAGGCAGGGAGGGACCACAGCAAGATCTCTCCAAGGACCTGCCCCAGAGACCGACTCCTTCCAGGTAAGTTCCACCTTAAGTTTCTACAACTTTCCAAAATAGCACTACCTGCTGGGGACCCAACAGCACAGGGCCCTGTGGAGGGATATTTCAAACTGTAACATTAGCCCAGGCTGGCCTGACACTTTCAATCCTCCTGCCTCAGCTTCCCGAGTACTAGGATAACAGTTGCAAGTTCCCATGCAGGTCTTCTGATCCTTAGTCCAGTCTGAATTAAGCTCATAATCAGGAGTTTACTAAGCTTCCTCACACAGAGCACTAAATGTTAACTGTCTCGACATGCCTTTACCTAGGTAAATTTTTAAAATGACATCATGCTCTGGTCAACCCTGTTCTCACAGATGGAGGACCTCCAGCTGCATTGCTCCATGCTCTCTGACCTTTTGTGGCCTGTGCCTTGCCCTTCCTGCCTTCTGTACAGTGACCAATCAGCAGTCCCACGAGGGAATGCTCTCTGCAGGCACCAACTGTTCTCGTTGCCTAACAATTCAGGCACCCCTCTCCCTAAGTAGCTTCTCTACGCAGATTACAAGTCTTCCCTAAATGTATTTCATCCAGAGTTTACCTGTCAACTGCAAGAGGAGACATGGATTCCAAGCCCGACCACCGAGCTAACCTGTTACCCTGGAAACCTGAAAAGACCAGTGTGAGCGACATGACAGGCAGGGGCTGGAGAAGCTGAATGGCCAGTGGGGAGGAACTGGTCAGCACGGAGGGCTGTGGGGGCCGGGTCACTGTGACTCAGTCCTGCGTGTCAGTGCAGAGCCCACTGTGGAAAATACACAGCTGCAAGCTCGTCCAACAGCACTTTGCTGAGCCTGCATTGGCTGGTCCTTGACCCTGCCGTCACCACAAATGGTCTCCCTCGGAGGCATGTTAACAAGTACAGGTTAAAGCTGCAAATGACCACTTCCGGCTTTCACAAATGGCTCAGTGTGTGGACGCCACGGCAGTGCTGTATGGCTGGCATGTCTGTTGCTCTGGCACTGGAAACTCTGAACACCTGAACATCTGGTCATGTGCCACCTCTCTCCAGGCAAGCTCTAGTTCTGGAGGGCGGCGGAGCTCAGGGGCATGTCAGCCTGTCTCAGTCTCTGGCTGGAAGCTGTGAGCAGCACTGTTGATCTACTTCCTCTTCCAGAAAGCTCAACTGCCAAGCTCCAGGCTGACCTCACACCAGCTTCACTTGAGACACTGGTTATTCCACTGAGAGGCAAAATGCTGGGTGGGGTTGGGCAGTGCTAGACCCTAGAAACTGATAAAAAACCAAACAGAAACTGGATGTGGTGGTCCACACCTGCCTGTAATCATAGCTCTTGGGAGGTAGACAATAGGTTCAGAAGTTCAAGGTCATCCTTGGCTAAGCAGCAAGCTGGAGGCAAGCCTGGGCTACACAAGACTGTCTCAAACCCAAAACCAAAGCAAGCAGGGATACAGGATGAGGGTTCCCACCCCACTCTGCTCCAAGTAGGGATTGTTTCAAAGTTAAATTACCATAGGGTTCCAGGCCAGCCTGGGCTAAAGAATGAGATGCTGTCTCAGAAGCCAACAAAAGCAGGCATGCCCTCCCACCACACCACTGGTCTACATAGTGAGTTCCAGGACAGCTGGGGCTACAGGGAGACACTTCCCTGTCTCAAAAAAGACCAAAAAAAAAAAAAAGGGTAAGTTTTGAAAAAAAATTTTTTTTAAATAATAGGGAGTATTCACTTGGAAAAAAAAAAAAAAGAGGCTCAATAATAGTATTTGCCTATTCTGTGTGAGGCTCTGGGTTAAATTCTCAGAAATTATACAGAACAAAACACACATTTTGATGGGTTATTTCCCCTGTTGAAACTCTAGTTTTCTAATAAAATCTGGAAGACAATTTGCTTGTACCATTTTAAGTCTTTTCTGCTGGAGTCTGCACTGTGGAAGAAGCTGCCTGCTGAGGCTGGTCACTGATGCTGACCCAGCGTGGACCCCAAGCACTTGGGAAGGGTTCCCCGAGAACCATTACAACACTGTCCCTAACATCACAGGGACAGTGACTAAACACATGAACCATCAGCACAAACCAGCACATCCAAGGGGGAAAGACTGAGATCAGGAGTGCCCGAGTCTGGGGCCCGGGTCTGAGCCTGCATGGACTGTGCTTGGGTTGAGCTGTCTGCTGGATGTCAGGTTTTCACAAAGAACACATGCTGCTGAACCAAAGGAGGCACAGACCTAGTTCTCCTACCAAAGTTCCTATTTTCTTTGGGTTGGAGAGATGGCTCAGTGGTTAAGAGCACTTCCTGATCTTGCAGAGGACCTGAGTTTGATTCCCAGCACCCACGTCAGGCAGCTCACAACCACCTCAACTCCAGCTCCAGGGAGGATCTGATGCTTCCCCTTTGCAGTGCCTGTAGCCAAGCACATTCACCCAAACACAGACCCCACAGAGATAATTCAAAAAAAGTCTTAAAAGCATTCTTTTGTTGACTTGTTAAATGCTTGACTTCACAACAGTCCTCAACATGAAGAATTCCAGTGCTAATGCTGTCTCAGACATTTTTATTGAATAGTTTTCTTTCGGTCTCTCACCCTAACTGTAAATAACAGATTTTATTGTGATATATTATCAGATACATGTGTGACCTTGGCACAGAAACCTCGCTTGACAAAGGTGGTGCATCAGTAGACAGGCACACACTCACCCCATTCTTCAGACATATGTGAAAGCTGGGCAAGTGTACGCAAGTCTGATTTCCCAAGCACCACTAGGTCTACAGCTAAGAGCTGAGCAGACTGAGAACTGCGGGCAGCGGCCGGGCGACTCTGCAAACAGCATCCACAGAGGCTGACACTTTTGCTCCTTCCCTGGCTCTCGAGTTTCAGACACCTGACACTGTAGCAAAGAGTCTAACCTTACTCCTCGCCAGAAAAGAAATCCCCAATAAAACCCTCTGTGCTACCAGTTAAAACAAATTCCCCCAAATGAACTGCTGCTCAAAATTTATAGTAGGAAACTGATAATAAAAAAAGGAGACTATTACTGTTCTAAAAGTAAGTCAGTTTAAATGATTCTCAGTCTAGCAGGGGAGGGGCTGCCTTCAGTGACATCTGCCCTACCCCACGGCAAAAACAGCAAGTCAGGTGTGCTTGAGGCTTCCTGGGGGCTGGAGACAACACTGGTCACTGGAGACTGTAAGTCTGAGTCGAGCTGTTCAAGGTGAGGCTCACAGTGAGGGAACGGGGATCTTTCTTGTTCTTGTGAACTGTGATCTTTCCTTTCAAGGCTTCACCTGTAAAAGAAAGGCACATAATTGGATTTAAAGCCCACTTAATGGGAGGAAACTCATGTCTGGTACTGTAAAACCTAGCCAAATAAAGATAGCTGAAGAGGTCATAGATCTGACAGAAACCCAAGGCTCTCATATCCCTAGACATATGTAATTTCTTACTATGTGCAAAATATGGATCCTTAAATTTTCAGACAAGTATCCCGGTCACCACCCATCAAAGAAGCTTCTTTTTCAACAGACAGAGATTATTACAGAGTTACACCACTGGTCACACACAGAGATTCTCTGGGAATTGTCCAAGCCTAAGTGGCACATCTATACTTAAGACTCTACACCTAAGACTCACAGAACATAGAACAAGGGAGGAAGAGACACTAATGCATCTTTCAATTCTCATCAATGAAGCTCCCTCATGCACCAGAGGGTCAGGAACACAAAAGACCACAAATGGCCAAAATACAGCGAATAAGAGTTGGCAGGGTGTGGGTCCTTGGACAGGACTCCTATAGTGAGGTCCACCCACCCAGGGCTCAGGGACCACTACAGACGAGGGGGCGGAAAGATTGTAAGAGCCAGGGGAGGTGCATGACCATACGGAAATAGTCCTACAGGCACCTGGGACCCTTTTCATACAAACCTACAGCAATGGTGTCAGCATGCACAAGACCCATGCAAACTTAGGCAGACAAAAAAGCACAGAACTGTGGAAATGAACAGGAAGCCTCAACCACAGTTGAAGAATTATTGGCATGTGATTACTGCTGGGTGAGGAAGAGCTGATCTTCTTGAACAGACTCTAGATAGACTAACTAAACCACGGTGGATGAATTTGCACTGAGGGTCATTTCGGGATACTAACTTGACATAATAGGCCTTAATACAAATGACAGACTATATGAACTCCCGTGGGGGGGTATGGGAGGTGCCGAAGAGGAGGGGGAATACGTAAATATTCAATAAAAATTATTAAAAAAGAAAAGACAGGCACAGCCCGCGGGAGGGCTCAAGGGGAGGTGGCCACACCAGCGAGTCGGTTTGTGTAGTGATACCTTTCATTGCGCATGAGGATTTATTATCTTTAAATGAATAGACTTCCGGATGAGGCATTCTGGTGGGTTCTGGGCACACAGAAACCAGGACAGGGTCTTTGCCCTCAAGGAGTCCATGGTCAAATGTGAAAAGAAACAGCTTCAGTGACGGTTCCACAGCAGGCTGTGTCTCGAGTGCCGGAGGTGAGACTGAGGGATGGCTAAAGGCTCTGGGAGAATGGTGGTGCCGTTTGGGCAGGACTCACGAAGGGAGAGACAAGCATGTTCAGAGTGCCTCCAAGGAACAGCATCCTGAAGAACTGAAAATTTCAGTTGTGAAAACTCTGGAGAGTACAGTTCAGAGGCATGGGACAAGGCTGCAGATGCCAGTGTATGAACACATAAGTGCGAAACGTACTCAGAGGACCCTCAACACAGACACACCATGTCTGTCTCAAGGCAAAGGTTGTATTCTTGAAGGCTTGAAGGTAGGCCTACTTGCTTTTCTGGTGTAACTCTCTCTCATTTAACTTTCCCACATCTCCACTAAGAGCTATTTAGAAGCAACGGAGCAGACAGCTCATTGGTAACAACCCCCACCCTGGCACCCGGCTCTAAGGTCACACCCCAGCCAGCCCCAGGAAGAGTTTCACAGTCTGGATGGACACAAGGTACCAAATCAAAGTGTCTGAACACTGAATCAGTGTTACATTTAAAAACAAAACCCTGCAAGTGCCCCGTACTCAGGGAGAACAATCGAGTCTTTTTCTCAATGTTGGTGAAATAACACGTAAAATCAAACCACCAGTGCTTATTTCCAGGCTACAATGATGTCGTTGCTGATATCTTCCATCACCTTTAGGAATAAGGTTAGACTCATAGTTTAATATAAAACCAATGAATGAGAAGAAGCAGTGCGGCCCACTCCACTCCGCAGCACACAAGAGTGACTGTGTTTGATATCTGAGCTAATGTACATCCACGGCTCTGGCTTTGAGGTCTGATTTATTCCAACTCCGAGTTTGATACATCAGCAAATGTATGTGTGTGGGTCTGACTTTGAGGTCTGACTTACTCCCCTATGTTCATGTTGTTATTGTTTAAGACGGGGTCTTACTTCCTACCCTGGTAGACTGAGAACTCACTCTGCAGCCCAGGCTGGCCTTGAATTTCCTGTGATCCACCGAACTCCTTTCAAGTGCTAAGACTGCAGCTGTGTGCCACCGAGCCCTGCTCTTTCTCTTTACCAGGAAACCAAAGTCAAGTAAACTCCCTCCTGCGGCATGCCTAGCAATGCAGGAATGATCAAGATGCCCAGTGAGAGAGGCTGACTCATCTTACCACATTCGGGGAAGTCAGCACACCTGAGGCTGACCCTCACTCAGCATACCCTCTGTGCTATAGGCCCTCCCCAAGGTCTTCACCCAGCCTACCTCCCTTCATGGCCACAGAGCCTCGCTGTGAGGTTAGCGCGTCTCCTTTCCTTGTAGTGAAGGTCAGCTCCATCTCTAAGATCACACTCCAGTGAGTAAGGAACAGGCTTTCAGTTTGTTTGTGGTATGCACCGACCACAAACCTTGCACGTGGCAGGCCAGAGCTCTACCAGGGCTGCATCCCCAGCCCCAAGAACCAGGATATTAAGGCTGTTTGGCTCCAGAGCCCATGATCTAATTATTACAGCTAAATGTACTAAAGTGGACATGGAACGCCCTAAATTTTACTATCCAGCCATATCTTCGTGTAAAGATAGTCACTTTAAACTTACATAATTCTAAAATTTTAAAATTATAATGTATCTATTAAGGAATTAACCCAGGAAGGAAACAAACTCACTAAGATCTTCACTAAATTAAAGAAAATTTAAATTTAAAATATATAAATATTTCTATGTTTCTTACCAAGTTTTATATGTACCCTTTTTGTTTTGTAAAAATATAAAGTGTCGGGAATCAACCTGGCTCTGCCTCCTCAGTGCCCAGAGGACAGGTACCTGTGCTGCCGCCCCGGCATTCCACACGGGTGCTGTGGGTCTGAACCCGCGTTCCACGTGGGTGCTGCGGGTCTGAACTGAGGTTCTCCAGCTCACAGGGCAGGCCAAGATCAAAATAAACAAGGAGAGTGTGGGAAGATGGACCCACTGTGCTGATGACCCCACGTCCCCACGCCAACCTGCAGACACAACAGTTCCCAGTCAACATCCCAGCACGGCTTGGAGAGATGGCTCAGAGGTTAAGAGCACTGGCTGCTCTGGTAGAAAACCCAGGTTTGAATCCCAACACCCACATGGCGGCTACAAACCGTTCCTCCAGGCGATCTGATGCCTTCTGTCCTCCTCAGGCACTGCATGACACGGGTGCACTTACACACAGGCAGGGAAAACACTCATACTCACAAAAAAATAAGTCAAAATATTTATGTAAATACATCTAGAATAGTCAAAACAATTTTGAACAATAGGATGTGCAACATTTTATAAAGACAGTGTCCTGGGAAAGGACGGATACATACATCAATAGAACAAAATGTGAGTCCAGCAAGAGGCCTAGACATACATGGTCCATTAATTTTTGACAGAAGAGCTAAGGTAATTAAATGGGAAAAGGACAATTCTGTCAAGAAATGATGAGAGAGCAATCTCTTGTACACTTGGGAAAAGATGAATCATTGGCTCTTAAAATGATCACAGGATAGATTACAGACCTAAATGTAGACGCAAAACTAGAAGGTTTAGAAGAAACAAAGTCCTTGTTAGACTCGGCAAAGGTTTCACAGTGGGCACAGAGGCGGTACTACTGACGGTCTCATGTCATTAAAACTCATTACAATTTACTAGTCTCTGAACAGACCTGCCAGGAAATGGGATAACATAGAAACAATATACATATCTGACAAAGAATTCACTTTCACTCACATAAACAACTTTTACAACTCAATAGGACAGCAAATAATTCACTTAAAAATTAAGTGAAAGAGCAGTATGCGGTGGTACTTGCCTGTAATCCCAGAACCTGAAGGCACAGGAGGACAAAGCCAGCTTGGACTGCAGAGTGACTTCCAAGCCAGCCAGCGATACCTCACAAAAGATACACATTGCAGGGACGTATGAAAAAGTGCCAACATCATTAGTAATCATAAACACAGAAGTATAGACACGATGCTGGGCAGTGACCCACAAAGGTCCCAGCATTCAGGGGCTTGGGTAGAGATACTGAGGTCCAGAGCCTGGGTCACACAGAGAGACTATCTCAAAGCAGAAAAGACAAGAAAGAGTGTGCAAACGCAGCTATGCTCCCAGCTGAACTGTCAGGGACGGTGACTGACGGATTTTTAAGCAAGCAGTGGCAAGAGCTCGCAGCAGTGGCAGGAATGTTAAGTAGCTCATTTTGGAAAATACAGACCTTAATTCTACCTCTAGACATCTACCCCAGGGATGTGCAAACACAGGCTGCACAGAGACTGTTATATGAATGTTCTCAGAATGTTATTCGCGATGGTCCCTAAGCACAGACAACCGAAACGCCAGCAGCAGCAAGCTGTGGTCTGTCCACACAAAGAAATACTACTTGGTCATAAAAAGGAGCGCCATGATGATGAATCCAAACACTGCTAAGCCAAAGAACGCGGAGCACATTCTTTCTTAAATTAAAAAAGTTTTGATTTATTTATATTTATTTCATGTGTATGAGTTTTGTGCCTACATGTAAGTGCACCCATGTCATGCAATGCCTGCAGAGGCCAGAAGAGGGTGCTGGATCCTCTGGAACTGGAGTTAAGAATGGTAGTTAGCCACCAGGTGGGTGCTGGGTACCAAACCCAGGTCCTCTGCAAGAGCAGCCAGTGCTCTTAACCCGAGTCCTCTCTCCAGCCCCAGAGCACAGTCTTATAATTACACTGCTGCAAAACTCTAGAAGAGCACCGCTCCATGGTGACAGCTGGAGCAGCAGCACAGCACGGTTGGCAGCTGTCTTGGCC